AACTTTGAAGCACGTTTTCCTCTAATTTTCTCTTTACGCAATCCTTTTTTTTTTAATTCTTCACAAGGAATCCATAATTGTATAGGCCAGTACAAAACAAAGAACCCCAACAATCAACTTGATAATTATTAGTTTAACCAATAGCCATCTCGCTTCAGATTTTTCCTTCCTTCCGTTAGAGATTTTTCTTAACCTATTAATGGTGTCAATTATCATTGTTCCCTCTATTGTCTGTACAATAATTTTAAGAGGGTGTCTAAGCAACCTTAAAATGTGCTTTTCTGAGAAGTAAACAATTTCATCATTAACCTTACCCAGATTATAGGTTAATGTATTTTAGTTAACCCAGTTTCAAAATTGTCTAGAGTGTCTTAGCCAAACATATTAGAAATTCATGTGTAAGTTTGTCTAAGGAATTGCAAAATAATTCCTAAGAAGCATTTTTTTTTTCAGCTAACTATCCACATTCCAAAATGGTTTCAGACAATTTCCAAGTTACTCGTTTCATGCTTAGGAATTGCTGTTCTTTTTTTGAGTGCATCTGTCCAGAGGTAGTAGTCGAGAAATTGCAGGATTTCATCAAGAACCACATGGGCTGTTGCCTCTCATTGTCCCGACCCCTTATGGCACGATAGATGGGGAGTAAGCCAAACTAGGCAGATAGATAGACTCATTTCCCACTGCTAAAGGAGAACATGAAAAAGACAAATAATTGTTTTTCAACCAGCACCCCCTTCTGGGTATGCGGGTACAAGGAGTCCTCTTGCCACCAACCAGCAGATATCATGTGGCTGGATTTTGAATTGAATAGAACAGGACATTATAAAAGTTAAAAAGAATCTAAAATCTTAAAATGTGCAGTCCAGTACAAGAAACCAAACATGCACTTCTTGTTAATGGAAATGCAGGTCATGAACTATGGACTGATACTTTCTCAACGATATGCTTGGGAGGATGCTAAATCTTCAGGAGATGCACATTAGTAATCCGTACAACAACATAAATAAGCAAGGAACATCCGATGCAACAAGAGCACCTGGAGAAGAAAGATATCAGATGTTCTACAATGCAGTCAGTTCTGAATTCACATTGAAACATATTACAATGGAGATCATTTTGTATCTGTAACTAAATTGATAATTTCGCCACTTTACAACAAAAAATACACTCTCAAAAACTTTTGAAAGAAACTGCAGACGAAAATATAGAAGTATAGCCAAGTTGTATAGTCATCAACCACATTAGTGCAATACGTAAAAAATGATAAATATGAAAAGTGCATGGCTGAAGGCGCCGAATTTGGATAACAGGTTGGCTGAATTATTGTCAGGTGTAAAGCTTCCCTCAGGAGTGCTCGTGGTCAAAACAACAACTATCCAGTCCTTTTCGGAACCAATCCCAACTCCAGTGTACTTGGTGTCATTTAGATAGCCCGAGTACTGTGACTTTGTAAAGTTGGAGACAACGAGACTTGAGACCAGGCCAGGAACACAAGCAGGCAATATTTGTCCGTCCCGTGTGACGGTGACATTTAAATCGCACTTGGATAGGAGGTTGGGGTAGCCGGAAAACCGAGGTTCAGTACCTGGTACGGTGTTGGAACCAGTACTGTTGGTACAAGGTTGATTTTTGAACTGGTCCGCCATCTCATCAGCAAGGCATTCTGCCTTGTCATTCTTCGCTAGGGCTGTCAAGTTTAAGGTTGCTCTATAGCTGTTGATTTCTCGAAGAAGATTGTCTTCCTCATCTGCATACATACGAGATAACGAAGAAAAAAGTGCTCAGTGCACAATCTTGATTTGCATTACACAACTCGATACATTGTTTTTTCAATGAGAGTCACTATGCACTAGATTATGCATCACAGGAGGCATTGGATCTGTATGAATACTTGATATGACAAAGAAATGATAACTAAAAATTTGAGAAACTAAAATGCTGTGTATATATAAATGGCCCAAGACGTGTCATAGATTTGTTATTGCAAAATACTGAGCTGTAAACAAGAGAAAAACCAAAGATAATCAGAGTGAACTCTTCCAGATGCCATAAATCTGTAAACAGAGCACACAACTATGTACTGAAATATTTTTCGCTGAGTCAGGGCAACAAAAAGAATCAGCAGTTGCGTTTATAGTTTGTAAAGGATTTAAAGACATCAAAGATTTTGATGGATTGAAGAACCTGAGTGGTTAAACAAATGTTGTACCATATTGTGAAGTGTGATCCAATTTATGTTGCGTTCACTGAGAATATCCTAAAAATGTATGGTCGATGATTGATCCAGCAGCAGGGATAGAGACAACCAATTTAATGGTGCATTGAGTTCGGGACCTGAAGCTCTACTGCGAGAGAGGACATAAGGCATCAAGACCCCATAATAACTCTTCTGCTAGAGTCTAGTTCTTACCAACTGGAAGCACATTGAAGCAAAGAACCTAATGACAAAGACCATATTTTCTGCCCAACCCAAGTTCACTTCACACATAAATCAAAGCCAAGAACTATCTGTTTACTACTTAGCCCCTGTTTCGTTTAGCTAAAAATCAATTTTTTTAGTAGGTTTTGATAAAATTTAATGAAATGTGGTTGAAATATTGATAAAAGTTGTGGATTTCATGACATATGTGGTTGACAACGAGTTTGAGAAAAAAATGAGTTTTAGAAAATGGGGCCAAACACAGGCTTAATGACCTGAGGTGTCAGCAATGTTTTTAAGGAAAAGTTGACCAAAATTTTCTCTTAAAGAAATAAACTAAATATCGACATAGAATTATAGTAATGCTAATTCTTGAAACCATTTAATAAAGAATTGCTGTTAGCAGGAACTAAATAGCACTACAAAATATTGGGGGTTGATGTCTTAATGTTTGATGTTGTACCTTAAATTTTAAAAGGATTCTAGTCTTCCGAGATCTCCAATACCGTAGGAGGGAAAGAATCCATGTTGCAATCTAATACATGAAGAAAACAATCCTAGGGGATTAAAAGACTCCAGTTTTCTCGTTTTGGGAAATCATTCAAATTAAGATCAGAAGCTGGTTGTTTATCTTTTCCATAATTAATTGAAGCCATAGGGACCTATCCATTCCTTCAACCTAACTCTCTTTAGTCCCATTCCAAGAATTCGAACTAGTTTTTGTATCGATCCAATAAAAGTGAAATATACACCATTCTAAGATTCCATTTCCTATCTGCTCCCATATAATCAAGAGATAGACAGATAGTGGAGCACCCAATTGCATAGATACGATGTAATTGTAGTGACTAAGGGAATTGAAGATCAAAAGCAAGTTATTAAATCAAGCACTCTACAAAAAAATATGCCTATTAACCAATCCCACTCCCAACATTACACCGACAACGGCATCTGCAAAGGGGAAGTCCTAATAAAGGACTACCCGATCTAATAATAGAGGCAAGAAGACTTTTTGGCCAAGTCCCATTAGTTGATCATAACAGTTTTATGGAAATGCTGCACAGACCCATAAATACAAGAATGAAAGCAGAATCACCTTGATACCAAATCAAATCAACCTGGGGATCTTATTCAAAATGGGATGGACGGCCAACCAAATGGAAACAAAAACCAGACATGCATCAGATCAATCCTACTTACATGAATCTGACCCCAAATTCAACACTTGCCTTCAGACTTAAGCTTTCAGATCTCATTGATTTTCAAAGTACATTTGCAGAATAAAGATCCACTTCAAAACCAACAAATCCATGCCAAATAGATCTTAATCAGTTTTAGCCAGAGTCGGGTGAAATTACAGCTCAGATCTTTAATAGTGACTGGCATAAAAAAGCACTTAGCCATGAAAGAAAAAAGAAAGAAAAACAACATAAGACCATAAAAATGGTAAATGCAAAACTGATCTTGACCATTCAAAAAGAATATCTAATAACATATAGAATAAAAAAAGATCTGATCTTTGGGCAAAAATTCTCCTCAAGCTTTTCTCTTGATTGATCTCAACACACACATAAAATAAAATAAAATAAAATCCCACACCGGACCAACAGGAGAGAATTAAATCTATAAAATCAAAAATGACTATAAAATATCAGGAGAAAAAGAGAGAAAACAATCAGATCTTTACTTAAGTTTCGTTCTTTTTATTATATTCATTTCCTTGCATTCAACAAAAGAAGAGCGTTAACACATTTGTATAAAAGCAATTTCAACACAAATCATAGCAAAGAAACAAAATGGGAATAACAATCCAAGTGGGTAAGCAAAAAAGCATAAACCTAGGATTTACCATCACATATGACGAATAGAATGGTATGTAAGAGCAAAGAGAGGAGGAGGAAACGTAGTAGAGACTCCATTGGACTGAGTTGAACTCGAAGCTAAGAGCCTCGTCTCTATATAGAAGGAAGCTTCTTTGACGCAGAAAGGAAATATGAACTGATACAGTGTCGTCTTGTTGAAGTTTCAATTTCACCTTTACATTTTGTCCTTGCAGAATGGCCACTTGAACTTTACGCAATGTTTTGCCAATTAATTTGGGGGTTATTGGCGCAAAACGTTC